CGCACGTGCTGCTAAGAAAGCCCGCGGCAAAACCAACCCCAGCACCAGCCCAAGTGCTGTCCAGGCCAGAGCTCTGCAAGCTCAGAAAGCGTATTTTGGCTAGAGCAGAGGTCTTTCGGGCGGGGATGCTGTCCTCTGCAAGCTTAGTGGCAAGGAACTTCTTGAGGAGGGCCAGCGTCTTTTGCTGCAACTGTTCTTTGGCATCCTGCCAGGAGTGGACAGAGCGCATGTCCAAGAGCTGCACTGGCTCGCCTGGTGCATAGTGTCTTCAAGTGCGCTTGGCTCTTGAAGCGGGCCCTTTTGCAGCTTGCTCCGGAGTTTGCGGATCTCGCTCACGAGCTTGTCCTCAGAAGCTCTGCGCGTGTTCCTGCTTCTGCTTTCTTTGCTTCCGGGATTGCTTCCTTGCGCCGGAGGACGAAGTGGAAGAAGACGGAGAAGAAGAGGTGGAGGGCCGCCTCTTCTTTTTCTTTGCTTTCTTCTTTATCTTGTCGGTGTAGTAGCGCGACTTTGCGCCAACATCTTCTTTTTGCTGGTGGCGGGACCTGCCCCCCGTCTCCGTCTGTCTTTGTCATGGGAGTGGCCACGGCTTTTTCCTTGCGTGTCATCACTCATGGCAAACCGGCCACGACGAAGTTGAAGCAGCAGCGCGCAAGGAATATTTGCCACAAGGCCGCCGTGAGAAACACAGGTAAAGCAAAGGCTGAAAGATCTTGGGCGCAGAAAACTTGCGCAGGCACAGGGCGTCTTGCTTCACATGTCAAGGCCGCAGCAAGAGTGGAACGCAGGCGCCAAGATCTTTGCTTGAAAGGCAGGGGCGCGTCTTGCTGCCTGATACACGGTCTTTCGCACATGCTTCTTTTTCCAGCCGCCCGGCAGGAAATCGCAGAAAAACCGGATCATGGCAACGGCTGTGTCTTCTGCTGTTAGCTGCATGTCGCGCCACCGCGCTAGGCGGCCCAAGCGGGGGAGAGGAGATTTCAAAGTCCAGCCCTCGCAACGCTAGCGCGCAAACACGCAAACACGCAAACACGCAAACACGCAAGCGCGCAAACACGCAAGCGCGCAAGCACGCAAGCGCGCAAGCACGCAAGCAAGCGCGCAAGCGCGCAAGCACGCAAGCACGCAAGCGCGCAAACACGCAAACGCGCAAACGTCGCAAACACGCAAACACGCAAACACGGAAATATGCAACCACGCAATTGCTGCTGATGCTTCTTGTTGAAGTCAGAGCCCACGCGTGTGCGCGCCATGGGCGCCTTGAGCGCCGGCCCAAACCCTGACAGGTGAGATCTAAAAATCTCTGCTTCTGCTCAAGCCGAGAAATGCGGATCCAGCACAAGTTTGCAACCGAGGAAACCAAAGGGTACCGCAGGGGCCCCGAAACAAGAACAACACCGAGAAAAAACGGCAGGGCGAGCGGTGCAGAACCTGAAGGCAACAGGCGCTGAGGGCGGCGCCGCCTGAGACAAAACAGGGGGGCAAAGGGAAGCCCCAAAAACAAAAACCAAACACACAAACACACACAAACACACAAACACACACAAACTCACAAACACACAAACACACACACAAACACACAAACACACACACAAACACACAAACACACAAACACACAAACACACAAACACGCAAACACACAAACGCACAAACGCACAAACACACACACAAACACACAAACACACAAACACACAAACACACAAAGCAGAAACACACAAACGCACAAACACACAACCGCACAAGCACACACAAACACACAAACACACACAAACACACAGCCACACAACCACACAAACACACAAACACACAAACACACAAAGCAGAAACACACAAACGCACAAACACACAAACGCACAAGCACACACAAACACACGAACACACAAACACACACACACAAACACACACACAAACAAACACAAACACACAAACACACAAACACACAAACACACAAACACACAACCACACAAACACAAAAAACACAAAAAACACACACACAAACACACAAACACACCAACACACAAACGCGCAAACACACAAACACACAAGCACACAAACACACAATCGCGCAAATGCACCAACACACCAACACACAAGCACACCAACGCACCAACGCACCAACGCACCAACACACCAACACACCAACACACCAACGCACCAACACACCAACGCACCAACACACCAGCCCACAAGCGCGCAAGCGCGCAAGCACACAAGCGCACAAGCGCACAAGCGCACAAGCGCACAAGCGCACATGCGCACAAGCAAGTGTGAGGCTTCACAAGGATAAAGCACACACCATTCCCCTACTCAACTTCGCGTCCCCGCCCCACCCTGCCGACCCCACCACAAGCGCACAGGCACACAGGCGCAAAAGCACAAAAGCATAAAGAAACGAAAGCACGAAAGCGCGATAGCACGAAAGCACGAAAGCACACAAGCACGAAAGCACGAAAGCACGATAGCACGAAAGCACGAAAGCACACAAGCACCAAAGCACCAAAGCACAAAAGCACAAAAGCGCAAAAGCACAAAAGCACAGGAGCACAAGAGCACAAGAGCACAAAAGCGAAAGAGCACAAGAGCGCAAGAGCGCAAGAGCAAAAGAGCACAAGAGCACAAGAGCACAAGAGCGCAAGAGCGCAAGAGCGCAAGAGCGCAAGAGCGCAAGAGCGCAAGAGCGCAAGAGCACGAGCGCAAGAGCGCAAGAGCGCAAGAGCACGAGCGCAAGAGCGTAAGAGCGCAAGAGCGTAAGAGCGCAAGATCGCAAGAGCACAAGAGCGCAAGAGCACAAGAGCACAAGAGCACAAGGGCGCGAAAGCACAAGAGCACAAGAGCGCAAGAGCGCAAGAGCGCAAGAGCGAAAGAGCGCAAGAGCGCAAGAGCGCAAGAGCGCAAGAGCGCAAGAGCGCAAGAGCGCAAGAGCGCTTGCGCAAGAGCTGTTGCACAACAGCACAAGCGCGCACGCGCGCAAGCGCGCAAGCGCGCAAGCGCCCAAGCGCCCAAGCGCCCAGGCGCCCAAGCGCCCAAGCGCCCAAGCCCGCAAGCCCCCAAGCCCGCAAGCCTGCAAGCCCGCAAGCCCGCAAGCCCGCAAGCTCGCAAGCCCGCAAGCCCGCAAGCCCGCAAGCCCGCAAGCTTGCAAGCCCGCAAGCCCGCAAGCCCGCAAGCGCGCAAGCGCGCAAGCCCGCAAGCGCGCAAGCGCGCAAGCGCGCAGGCGCAAGCGCAAGCGCAAGCACAAGCGCAAGCGCAAGCGCAGGCACAAGCGCAAGCAACAAAGCGCAAGCGCATGCACAAGCGCAAGCGCAAGCGCAAGCGCAGGCGCAAGCGCAAGCGTAAGCGCACGTGCAAGCGCAAGCGCAATTGCAAGCCCAAGCGCAAGACCAAGCGCAAGCGCAAGCGCAAGCGCAGGCGCAAGCGCAAGCGTAAGCGCAAGCGCAAGCGCAATTGCAAGCCGAAGCGCAAGCGCGTGCGCGAGAGCAAGCGCGCTAGCGCTAGCCCGCGAGTGCGAGGGCGCGCGAGAGCGCGACAGCGCAGGAGCGCAGGAGCGCAAGAGCGCAAGAGCGCAAGAGCGCAAGAGCGCAAGAGCGCAAGAGCGCAAGAGCGCAAGAGCGCAAGAGCAGGAGCGCAGGAGAGCAAGAGCGCAAGAGCACAGGAGCACAAAAGCACAAAAACACAAAGCGCAAAGGCACAAAAGCACAAAAGCACAAAAACGCAAAAGCACAAAGGCACAAAAGCGCAAAAGCACAAACACACAAAAGCACAAACACACAAACGCACAAACCTACAAACACACAAGCCTACAAACACATACATACACACAAACACACAAACACACAAACACAAAACACACAAACGCACAAACACACAAACACACAAACACACAAACACACAAACACACGCACATACGCACACACAATCACACAAACACACAAACACACAAACACACGCACAAACACACACAAACACACACACAAACACAAACACACAAACACACATACGCACACACAATCACACAAACACACAAACACACAAACACACGCACAAACACACACAAACACACACACAAACACAAACACACAAACACACACACACAAACACAAACACACAAACACACAAACACACAAACACACAAACGCAGAAACACAAGCGCAAAAACACACATGCAAAAACACGCGCCAAAACACTAACACAAAACACAAAAACACAAACACAAACACAAAACACAGAACACAAAAACACAAACCACAAAACACAAAAAAACACAAACACAACAGCACAAACACAGAAACACGAGCACACAAACACAAGCACAAAAGCACAAACACAAACCACACACACAAAACACAAACACACCAACTCAAAAACACAAACACCAAAACACAATCACAAAAACACAAACACAAAGCACAAGGACACAAACACAAAATACACACACCAAAACACAAACACAAACCATTTACACAAAAACACAAACACAAAACACAAACACAAAAACACAAACACAAAAGCACAAAACACAAGCACAAAAACACAAGCACAAGCACAAACACAAGCACAAGCGCAAGCACAAGCACACGCACAAACACAAACACAAACACAACCACAAACACAAACACAAACACAAACACAAAGACAAGACAAAGAAAAAGACAAAGACTAAGACAAACACAAGCACAAACCGCAACCACAAACCGCAACCGCAAACCGCAGCCGCAAACCGCAACCGCAACCGCACCTGCAACCGCAACCGCAACCGCAACCGCAACCGCAACCGCAACCGCACCACAACCGCAACCACAACCGCAACCCCAACCCCAACCCCAACCGCAACCGCAACCGCAACCACAACCACAACCACAACCGCAACCACAACCACAACCACAAACACAAACACAAACACAAACACAAACACACAGGCACACCTGGCTGACTGTATGCATGCTTGCACCTTGAACAGTAGCCAAACATGCAGGAAGCGCTGCCATATCATGTTGCTGTGAACGCATAGCCGGCTCGAGCGTGGCCGGGACGGCTTCGGCCGCACAGCTTTGTTGTCAGAGCCTGACTCTGCCACGTGCAAACAGCAGTGTGAGTCCAAGGGACATGACAAAGCTCCTGTCAATCTTGGTGCTACTCCTGCCTCAAGTTCAAGGCGGCGACTACAGCTAGAAGAATGCGGTTGCTGTATTTCATTGCAGGCACAGCTCTTCGAGCAGCTACCAGTATCAATGAAGTGCTAGGGGCCAAGAGGGGCCATCCACGTAAATGCTTGGCATTGATTGACCGAGGGAGCCGCAAGCTGCGGTTGTTGCGCACCTGTTGGCCTGACCCTCAGCTTTTCAGAGGAAGGAACACCAAGCGAGCGCGTTCCTCGGCGACATCGATGGAATGTGCGGCACTTGACAAAGTCTTGCACTGAGTCAGTCGTTGATGACTACCTCAAGTACTACGCAGAGGAGAAGACATCCTGGACGGAGGCAGAGCTGCTTGGGAAGCTGGGACCAATTGATTTGTGTTAGAAAGTGATGGGTGGCAAAGCATGTGAATGGATTGAGCATTCTTCAGTCCAAGCAGCGGATGATAGACATCATCAATTCTGCCACAACAGACGAGGTGGGCTCATGGACATGTCGGATTTTGCATGCGATTTCTTGCAGCAACACTCTGCAGATGCCAAGTTTACTTTCAGCGCTCAACAGTCGCCTGAATTTTGAGCTTGCCAGTGCTTGCCCATGCCCTGCACATGCTTCATATGTTTGTTGGCAAGCCATCGTTCGTCCTGCCAGTCTCGGCTGGCATCTGTCAACGAGAAAGCTCGCATGAAGGCGCTCATAGCCGTACATTTCCGTTGAGTTGTTTTCAGCTTGGCGCTCGCACAACCGGTATCTACTAAAGTGCTCGAGTTTGATCACATCAAGGGAGCGCCTTGAACAGAAAGAGCATGATGAGACGGTTGCCGAGTATGTGACTGTCGTGAAGCCAGAGGCTCAGTCTCTGCAAGGAAAGTCGCGCAAAGATGATGTGACTGCGAGTCAAGCAAGCACAGTGCTAGGCAGCTGGATCAAGCGCTCAAGGTGCAGTATGCTTTGCTTGTCATGGCTGTAGATTCAGTCAACTGCCAGCACAGGAGATGGAAGGTGCTGACTGGGCTGAGAAGCATGGCGTCAAGGCAGCCCCGGAATGGCAGTTGGTGTGTGTATCAGCATGGATTTGTATAGGAGCAGCTGGATGCGCTATATCAGGCAGGTCGCCTGGACAGTGCAATGGATCCTTGCCCAAACAGCAGGAGTCTCCGCTTGCCCTGATTCAATCCGTGGGCAACAGAGGCGTGGAATGCAAACCTGAAGCTACAAGATCCAGAGGGCGAGGAACCAACTCAGTCTCGTCATGTGCAGAGGTACCAACGCCAGCACTTTGGCAAACTCGGCTGCCTTGAAGCTCAGGCAGCCTCCCTTTGCCGGGGTGTCCTTGCGCGATGCAATTGCCTTCGCAGGCAATTCCGCCAGGAGTTCGCCCCGGGAATCTGAAGGACTGAAAGGGGAGCGGATGGCGAGACAAAGACAGGGCCAGTCAGCAAGTAGCAAGCGTGAGCGCCATCCAGAAGTTTGAGGAAGTCAAGTTGCATTGCGAAACTCATGTGAGAGGCCGTAAACAACAGACATGCCCAGCTCAGCGGAGCCAGTCGTTGATTTTGACTTGGTGAAATGTGCGGCACGTGTTGCCGTGTTTGCATTTGACACATTTAGATACTGGTATGTGTTGTGGACTCGGCAAGAGTGCTGCACCAAACGATCGACACGCATTCCGGCTGGTATGTTGATGGTAAGTTGCTGAAAGTCAAGCCGCAGCGCTTGCGCGGAACTGCGTCTCACAGATCAGTGCTGCCTGCTTGGCTTCGAACACCTTGGCGGATATGAAGCTCAGCGTCGCAGTGCCGCCGCGGCCGGTCATGTGGTCAGAAACGTAATTCCGGCCGCGATTGTCTCCCCAGGCAGGGAAAACGGAAACTGTCTATGACGCATGCGGGTTGGATGGGGCTGGGGACTGCTAACGTAAGGTCTAATGTAGCACTTGCACCAGTCCGGAGTTGGGGTAGTTGAACATGTCATGATTTGACCGGACATAGTATTTTTATGAACTGGCGAATGCCATTGCTCCGCGCGATGGTTCGGTGGGGTGCGGTGGCGGGATTGGGTGAAGGGGTGGGGTGCATGGCACTTGAGCATGCCAATGCCGCTACATGCCCGCGAGTCGGGGGTCGGGGTGGGGTGCGGTGGGGTGGGGTGGATATTCCAACTTTCTTTGGCGCTCAAATGCTGCACCACTCAAAGTTAGAATCGAAAGAGCCATATCTGCCCAATGCAATCTGTCCCTACCAGACAGGACCGGTGCACTTCAAACTGATGGCTTTTGTATTCATGAGCAAGGCCCAGTCTATTAGGTTGCCATAGTAGAAACAGATCACCTGCAGGACCTACAAAGTGAGGTGACCTTGGACCTTTGTCCATGTGGAAAGATGCGGCTGCATGGTGATCAATGAGTGCATCGAATATTGCTCAAGTGGTTTGCAAAAACTGGGCTGCACCTTGGTTCGAAACAAAGATGCGGATGACCATGGGCATGTTCATGAGCCAGCCGCCCAGCAACCCTTCAGCCCAAGGTGCTGACTTTTCAACTACTGGGTTCTGATAGCAGTTTTGATTTCGCTGAGTGTTTTCATGGGGAAATCCATTTTATATCGCCAAGGGAAAACTTCAATAGAACTTGCGAGAGTGCGCAAACGCCATGGCGCTGAGTGGGTTGAAGAATCTGGTCAACTCCGCCGTGTCCGAGGCGCCTTTTTCACAACAGCCGCTGAGCATCCCATGGCCGTTTGGGTGTCACGTCTGGTGAAGTTTCAGGAGAGGCAAAAGTCTCAGGGGCACACAGCTGCTGCTCTGGGCCTTTTGCAGCGGCTGCCACCGAAGGAAAGCTGAGTGTGTCCCCACAACCCCGGAGGTGTTGCATTTAGTTTAACTTGCTGGTGCGATTGGTTGGGAATGAGGGAATGGTCCTAGGGATTCCCGGAGAACAGGAAACCAACACAGTTTTTGTTTTCTCTTCTTGTTTTGTTCTCCGGGGTCATTCCGTCATTCCCTACCTATCGCACCAGCAAGTGAAGACTCAAGCCAAACGGATTGCTTTTTTGGGGCAACTTGCCCAGGACCTGGAGGCAGACTTGGATGCCTTGGTCGCCATAGCTCCAGATCTGGACAGTACTGTCGGATGGCACACTGTCATTTTTTTGCGCTGGCATTTTTTTCTTTTTTCGTTGCAGCATTTGCAGTCCTGGAATGCTCTGTGGTTTCGGCTCGAAGACGCTAAACAAGAAGTAGCAAGTCAAGAAGTACTCCAAATAGCTGTGCCAGATTTTGACCGCCTCAGCGCAGAGCAGCCAATCTATGTTGCATTGTCAAGCTTGGCGCCGACAGCCTTGAACCCCATCTGTGCGCTCGCGCATTCGCCAGAATTGCAAGACAATTCATGCGCTGATGCAATGCAGGGTGCTCCATCAACGGCTGCGACGGGCTCGCAGCGCTCTGCCAAAGCCCAAAAGTTTCATCGACTGTTCCTCAGCTCAAGACGGCATGTTTCGTTTTTTGATATTGGTCGTTGATTAAAAAGAAAAATGTGCGCTGCACCAAGAAGCCCTTTCCAAACCTAAAAGTCTGTGCATGAGCATGGTTTGCGGTGCGAAAGAAAGGCTGTCCCTGCCCACGGTGGACTTGGCAGCCTTGCGAGAACTTCTATGGTCCGGTGCACCAGAGGAGGATCCCAAAGTCCGGGCTGAGGCATGGCAGATGTTGTTGGGATACCTGCCTCCCGTGAAGGATCGGCAAGCTCCAGGCCTTCAGAAGAAGCGAGAGGAGTACGAAGAGCTGAGACGAAGGCATTACTTGCCGATCGAAGCCCAAGATGCTCCTACCAGCATTGACGTCGACGCGGCTGCCATACTTCGCCAGATTCGTGTCGACATTCCACGCACTTCGCCGGGCCTACCCATTTTTAGCCATCCACGGATACATGAACTGCTGGAGCGAATTCTGTTTATTTGGTCCGTTCGGCATCCTGCCAGTGGCTACGTCCAAGGAATCAATGATATTGCCACTCCCTTTGTGGTTGTTCTTCTGGCATCCGAACTTGACTGCTTGCCCGAGGACATCAATGTGGATGCCGCAAGCAGTGATACACTGGATGCTGTGGAAGCAGGGGCCTACTGGTGCCTTACCAAGTTTTTGAGTGATATTCAAGACCATTACACAAATGGTCAGCCTGGCATTCAGAGCATGGTGGCCAAACTCCGAGAGATTGTCCACCGAATTGACCAGAAGCTCTATGAACATTTGGAGCAGCAGGGTCTGGACTTTCTGCAGTTCTCATTTCGATGGATGAACTGTTTGCTACTCAGAGAGTTTCCCTTTCCTTGCGTCATCCGCCTCTGGGATACCTACATTGCGGAGCCCTTGGAAGGATTTTCCTCTTTTCACGTCTACGTCCGTACCCCAGTTTTGCCGTGGATTGGTGACTAAGCTTAGTTGTTTTGAAAGGGACCAACAAGCAGTCCCCGATGCAAACCACCTCCAGAGGGCAAGCTTTGCAGGGATCCATCCAATTCTCGTCCAAGGTTTGCGCGGTGTTCCTCATCTACTGGTCTCCGCAGCTGAAGCAAATGGACTTCCAGCAATTGATGTTGTTCATGCAGAAGCTGCCCACTGGAAAGTGGCGCAATCAGGAAATCGAGTCGTGCCTGCATGCAGCACGCTTTGGAATAGCTCCTAGTTGTGCCTTGCTTTAGCGCGTCTTTTGCTTAGCCCAGATGGTGGTGGTTTGAGTTCTGAGGAAACTCTTCTGGCGGAGGCCTTCGTTCTGAAGAGCTTGTTTCATTCATCCCCCAATCACCTGAACCCAAGATGAGCCGACGTGGCGAAGATGAGTCCGCTGCAGTGGACACGTCAACATGAGGTGACGCGAGCCTCCCAAAGCCGCGTATTCTGAGAGCTCATGATTTGGTGATTGGGCAAACTAGGCTAGAGCACTGCGTTCGGAACCCACAGGATATTTCCAGCGTTTCAAAAGGCTGCAGGAATCGCCTTCTTTTTGTCTTCAAAGTGCTCTCAGCCTGGCCAGTCCGGGCCGTGCCCCTGAGCTGTGCTCAGCTCCTGAGTTTGCACATGTGCCAGCGGCAAATCTGTCATGTGAAGCAGGACAGGCTTTGCAACGCATATAAAAATGAAGTTCTGAGACTTCGATCTGCCATCTGCAGAGCTTGGCCACTTGTAGAACACTGGCTAGTGGTTTTCCAGCGAGTGGCATAGGCAGAGAGGGGGAATTCGATTCGAGAGACGGTGCCTGACTCCATGCCAGGAGCCATCGCTGGCGCCGTACGTCACTCGCCCGCTGAAGGTCAAGGAAGACCTGAAGGCTAACAGGTGGGCATGTAGCGCTTGGTCGCCGCCTTGTCAGGATTCCTTTTGCATTGGCACGTGAGGTACTTTATCGTATCGGAGTACAACTGCGACGGAGGCAAGCTTGCTTGCAGGTTGCCTCCATTTCTCGCCTGCGACAGCATGGCGCACTTTGAAAGGTTCGCATCGGTCCCCTTGGACCGACAGGCGCCTCCCGGCACGCAGGCTCAGAGTTAGGAGTGGCTGCCTGCGACTCAGGTACATTCCTGCACCCCCTGGTGGTGATGCTGAAGAGGAGTTGGCAGCTACTTTGTTGGTTTGACTCCGTTTGAGATGTCAGATGCAGGAGAGATTTTTCAGGCCACCTGAGCGTCTCAAGCGCTTGGAGGAGACCTTCAACGAGGTGCTCGGCGCTCTTGCGGGTGTGTTGCGGTGATGTGCATGGCAGGTCTTCGAGGCATATGCCACCAGCTACTACGAGGACGCGATACTGATGGAATTGGCATGAGTACGCGAGTGTGTGGAAGCGATGAACCGGAGCTGCCTGCCAGGGCTGCGTCTCGTCGGTGTATCTCTGGGACCTTGAGGAGGCTCTGTCGTCAGGTGACTTGCAAGCTTTTGCAAGCGCAGCTTGCTGTCAGGGCTACGCAGGCGCCTTTCTCATCCGCAAAGAGCTCTCGAAGGTGCTAGGCAGGATTGGCACTGCTCTATTTCCCATGCCCTCAGTGCCTCAGGGGATGGGAAGACGGGTGTATGGGATTCCGTTCATGTCCTGGAGGCGGGGCTGATGCTTCGCAGCTCAGATGCGAGTCCCGAGTCGCGAGTCGTTTTCGAGTCGCGAGCCGGTTGCTTCGCGAGGTGCGTGAGGCGCCGAACTCCCACCAGGTGGACTTCAAGCTCTCAAGCTCCGTTCTTCTGCATGCCCAGGTGCCCATAGCTTGTGTTCAATGAGCGAGTGATTTAAAGCGGATTTCTTCTCTCTCGAGGTCTCGCCAAAAGCTGAGCAGACAGAGCTGTCTGCGCACCTGACGCGCCAGGCAATTTGCTATGGCTGTGAACATGATCTTTGCAATCTGCCCCCCCCACCTTCGCTCGCCAAAGACTGCATCTGAGAAGTTTCAGAAGGAGAGAACGAGGGCATTGCTGTTGGAGCGCAGAATCTACCCACGCTCATCAATTCTGTCCCGAACTTGGAGTGTGGGGTCCCAACGCAAGGCCGGCCTATGGGGGGCAGCTTTGGATCTTGCGCAGCGATGCTAGTAATGCTGGTGATGCCTCCAATGCTGGATCCTGCTGCTAGGAGCGCAAATGACGTCTAGTGCTGCTGGAGTATGCAGCTACATGACGATTAGGGCGTCCTCAAATTCACGGTATAGCACTTGCTTTCGCCAGACACGCGGCTTTCAGGTTCGACTTGAAGTGCCAGACACATGCAAACAAGCCACATTCACTCCAGCCAGCCCCTGGTTACTTAAGGGTAGTGAGGTTGGTTTCAGTCTTCCAATACGACACTTCAGAGCCGATGTAAGGATCCATTCAGCAAAAGATGACCATCCTTTGAAATAACCTTTACCACCTGAGCCGTCGTACGGTTTTCTCTATATCAAAGAACATGACCCTAAGTTCAGGCGTAGAGAGCAGCTCAAGCTTGATCTGAAAGGGAAAAGGCGGGCAAACATCACTGTGCTGCTGAAACATGAATCACTTGGAAACTGCAAGGGATCATACAGCCTCTCTCTCTCTCTCTCGCTTGTGGTTGTTTGCCCCACACGCAACAAGTGGTGTCAGTCAGTGCGTGAAATGAAGCTTCATGTCAGCCTGGGCAGACCGACTCCAAGTTGGACCGGCGCAAAAAGTCTGGAGAGGAGCATGTTGTTCATTCTTGCGTGAGCGGTTTCGGATTCGCGAATGCGAGTCAGGATGCCCATATTGTGCACATTGGGATGATGATAGAGGACATTTGCATGTGGGCATGTGTGAACCCCGTTTCGCACTCTGATGGCAGGACAATGAAAACTTCCTCCGTCACAGCCTGGGCTGCATTCACCTGGCGATCGCCTTACATCGAGCCTGCTAGGCTGTCAGGCTCAATTTGTCGAGTTATCTCATATCTCCAGCTGGCAATCTGTTGAGGCAAAGCAGCAAACTGTACTGGATTCACTGCGATCAGTGGAAGGAGCTCAGGCAAGTGAAGCACAGCGGGAAAAGAAGCACAGGCTTTTGCCGCAACTTCTGAGTTTTGACTCTCAAGGTGTCCCACAGAGAGTCGCAAAAAATGAGGCCAAGCTTGAAAGATATGAGGGGTTTTTGATGTTTCTGGACTTGTTGATCCGCAGACACCAAGCTGGCAACAAGATCATCAAAGCATGGATGCCGTCAGAGTGACTTGAGGGCCGTTAACTTCACAGACAGCAGCCGCTGCCACCAAGCCGAATGAAGGCAGTGGCTACCTGAAGTGGGCGTTGGCTAATCTCCAGGTCCTCGGCCTCGTGCTACCTGCTGGCAGTGACTCGAGTTCCGGCAGTCGAGCGGCGAGCGCAAGTCGAAACGTGGCCGTGGAGTCCGTGTCCCGCTCTCCACTCCTCTCGCCATCGCCTCCGCAACTTGAGTCGTTTTTTTCGGGCTTCTCCGCCGCTGGGTGCAACGACCCGCTTGTTTGGCCAAATGCTGCCACCGCCATTCTACAGGGGCGGCGGGGCTGTTTTGCAAGTCAATCACCGTTTGCAGGAAGGCCTGGAAGCTACATTCGTGATTATTTGGGCGTGGCAGCGGCCCAGCTCACACCAAGCAGAACACTTGAACCAAATACTACAGTAGCTCCACGAAAGACCGAATGGAAGGGGCCTCTGCGTAAACACGAACGGGTCCCGCCGAAATTTGTTTGGGATACCTCCTGGCGACACTTCTTTTCACAGTCATGGCCGATGTCACATGGATTACATGTCATATGGCGTCAAGTATGCACTGATGCAGCGGAGCAGATGCCGCTGCCAGCTTGGCTCGGTTCAAGCCATGATAGTTGTGCTGAAAGATTCCACACCTTCCCAGCAGTGTTTCATGATGGCAGCACTACCCAATATGTGCATGCCTGTTCACATGTTGCATTTGATCAACAAACCACACAGAATGTTCGGCTCAGCACAGCAACAACCGTAATTTGGTTAAGAAGGCTGTCAACAGCCATGAGCACAAAAGGTTTGGCGCGTGATGGGCAGCTTGAGGCAGCACAACTTCACAAAGTCGCTAAATCAGTCTAGGGTTGTCCAAGTCATGGTCTTTTTGCTTCTCTCGTGCTTGCTTCTGTAGTGGTCTGAGGGCATTTGGGGAGTGGTCCATGATTTGGTTCACCCCACTTCCTTCATTGGGCCAGTGACAGCTGCGCGCGCTTTGACTAGGCGGTGGCAACGGCCATCAACTGGATTGGATTCTGGGGCGAGGTTGGCCACACCATCTCGACCAATGAACTCGAAATGCTTTTTGGAGGCGACGTTTGATGCTCCTCTGCGTGGGGATGCTCTGGCTTGGGCTCCGCAGCTTATGACCGGAATCGGAGGGTTTGTTTTCAGTTTCTGTGCCTGGCATCCTCTCGACTGAAGAGAACAGCAGGTGTGCACTTGTTGCTGTTGGCATGTTCGCATTCGCTTCATGCCTTCTGATTCAGAGCAAATTCGTATCCGCATTGCGTGTAGAGAGACAGCGGCTGAAAGGTGTTGCCTGTGCAGAGTCTTTGCGCTTCCATGGTTCACTCTGGCAAGCTGAGTCTGGAGACGAAGTTCGCCGTTATGCGTCGAGTGGTGGCACAGAAGTGCCAAGACAAGAGGATCGCGTCTTAGTCACAGGTGACACGATACAGAGTGCACAGCGTGGTTTTTTGCAGATGTTCTGCACGTCATAAGGTCGTGGATGTAGAGGACTCACCTTGTCCTTATACTGGTGCTGGTGCATCCTGGAAGGCTGAGGTGTCGGGACCCGAGCATGGAAAGCCACACATCTCATGAGAGACTGTGATGTTGTCGGCGGAGGGGCAATGTAAGGCAAAGCCCGTGGTGGGTTCATGCCCAGTCCCGGTCTCAATTGGATGCATTCCAGATGGCAGGATGGGACGCTCAGGTCGCACACTGAAGGCCCTGCTGACGACGAGTCCATCCCGCGCAAGCTCGAAGGATGGTGGCGGGTTCTGGATTATCAGAGGGATGCCGAAACCGAGGTCTTGGGCTGAGTGCGTTCATGCAAGTGAGGGGCTGCCCGCTTCAGCTTGCTTTGCAGGTGGGTGATAATCTCAACATCAATGAGCTCTGCTATGTGGAGAAGCTGTGGACAGATCGCATACGAGTGTTCAAGGCCTGCATCACAGAAAGCCAAGCAACATGAAGCGTATCTCTTGGGTAAAGAAACATGTTTGTGAAACGATCCAACATCCTTGCAATACGTTAGGCACATTGGATTGCAGCCTTTTCAGGCCAACCAGCCAGGAGTTGCAGGTGAAGTTCCGTTGACAAGGGTGGGGCCTCATTTTGCTTCGGCGCCAAGACCACTCGCTTCATGTCGCCTGAGGTGTGTGATCTGCAGCTGATGCAAAAGGCCTCAGCAGCAGTGGGATCAAGGCCCGGATGTCAGGCTGACTTTTATACTGACAAAGCACCCAACGAGTCAGGTTAAACCACCATTTTCGTCAGAGAGTTTATTTTTGTTGTTTGCCATTGCATAGAATTCGTTTCGGCTCTTTTTCTTCGAGAAGCGATGGAGTGCCTCGTTCTAGGTCTATCATGTTTTGAACTTCAGGAAGGGCAACTCTTGGCTAACCAGTGATTTGTGCTCCCACCATAATTTTGCAAACGATAGAGCACAACCCTGTTATCCGAGAGCGAAAGGACCGCATCAAGAGCTGCTTGCATCGGAGTTGAACAGGTGGGATTTGCTCCGCGACGTGGGCGAGGGTGGTGCCAGCCCATGCCACGCAGGAAGAAGAGTTGCCAGAGTTACCAAGTGTGAGGTGATGATCCTGATGACATTCAAGTGGGGCAAAGACGAGTTCTTCTTGGTGGCGAGTGCAACAACTAAACATGGAGCCAGTTGCTTCGTTGCAAGCAGAGTGCGCTGCAGGTATGGGACCTTGAAATTGAAAGGCTTGGAGTGCGAAGTGTTGAGCTATGTCGAATGGATGGACAGGCGCGGTCAGAACTGTCGGCTTTTTGAGCCCTTTGTCCTTCTGGTGCAGCTACGCAGTCTCAGCTGTCAGGTGGACAGTCGAAATCCCAGTCAAGGACCAGAAAGGCAAGAACCTGGTTGTTGCAGGGATCCCAGTCTCTTGCGGATTCATGTGTTGCGATTCAGTTCGGGCGAGGCGGTGATTCCGGCGCAGCTGCGGCATCCAAAGCTTCCCCGGGATCCCAAGCAGAATGCCAAGGTGGAGCTTCGTTTCGCATGAGCTTGAGATGCGCATCGAGAGGCCAATCTGGGCCTGGCGTTGCGCTCGAAAGCTCTGGAGATATGCTGGCAGGCCTGGCCCTTGCAGCTGTTAGTGCCCGACAAAAATGAAGATCTATGCTTCTGCAGGGTGGGTCACAATTGTGGGAACTGGTGTTGGTTTTGGGCGTCCACTATGGGTTGTGCAGGCTTCGGAGTGTTGATGGCACAGCTACGGATGGTATGGAGGAAGGACGTAGCTGTGCCATAACAACACTCCGAAACACGCGCAACCCTGGTGGACGCCCAAAACCAACACCAGTTCCAACAATTGAGACCCACCCTGCAGAAGCATAGATCAGCAGAGGAGAGAAAGCAATGGCACAAGAGTCCAGAACTTGATTTGCAACATCATTCTCCAACCGATACCCCAACCGCTGCCTGACCGATAGGGTGACCGATGCCCTCAGTAGTCAGGAGCCTCTTTGGCATTTAGATGATGTTTGGTTACTGGTCGGTTTCTGGTTGCAGCTTCATTTAATGCATCATTTGGCTTAAGCGCACGTGTTTTGTCCAGCAAGGAATGTGGTTTGTGTTGGATGGGGCAAATTGCTGACACTTGTACCCAGCAGTTGTGATTAGGAGCTGCCAAAGTGTACTTGGTGTATTGCGCTTGTCTTGAAAAGTCAAGATTTCGAGCTGGAGCAGGCAAAGTGTACTTGGTCGACTATTCTCCCTCAGAAAGGTTGCGATATTCAAGCTGAAGCTGCCAAAATGTACTTAAGACGCCCGTACTGAAGAATTGTGGTTTTCGAGCAAGCGCACTTTGACTTCTACACTTGGACTGGTTCGCGGCGATCTTCGAGCTGGGGCTGCCAAATATACTGTTTGCACCACACATTACTTGGGACCGACTTTCCAGGCAGAGGCTGACGCCAGCGGAACCAGCACCGCAAGCCGCGCTGATCTTACAGCACATGTCATATGTATTTGCTTCCAAGCGGTGTGCTTTCAGTGAGGCAAGTTCAAATTGCAGCTTCGCTACGTAAGCCGGAGACTTGCAAAGAAACACCTGACACACACCACATGCTCCGCACCCAGGTCGGGTGCGGCCTGGTGGCCGGGTGTGGACATCATGCCCTGACTCAATGTACAAGTATGCGGAGGTTGGAAAAGCAAGCATGTTCAGAGCGTTTTTTGGCCGTTTGAGCCTTTGAGGTTCGGTTCATTGCATCCGGCGACTATGGCTTGGTGTTTCGGGTTCTTCGCATGGTGGACCCCTCCAAGCAGGCGGAAGGGCACGATTTGAAGAAGTCTGTGCAGATGTTTCCGGGTTTCAGGCCTACCAAGACGAAGAAGATCCACACCTGGTTTTGGACATCCCAAAGGGATCTGATCGAGGTGCCATTGTCAAGGCGTATCGAAGGCAGGACCACTGCAGTGCACGCCACCTCCCTCTCTCAAAGTTCAAATGTCAATCTGTTGGCCAAGAGATGTTCTTGCACGCAGGCTTGCAAGAAGATGGCATCCCGACAAAGTAAAAGAGGAGGAGCACGAAGAGGCTGGGATGCTTTGCTGCCACCCCCGACATGCTGGTAGAGATGCTCTCAAGTGTGAAAGGGGCGGGCTGGGCAACCGATACCCCGATATTGCTT